ACTACAAATTGTCCATTTGTGTTTTAAAGTTTATCTGCAAAATTTCTCGCAAATTATTTTAAATGTGGATTAGCTCATTCCTTCATTCATAGATGATCTCTGTGATGCTGACATCATATTCGGTGGTTGAGCGACGTCTTAAAGCACCTTTGACTCTGTAGTGAAAGGCACTATATAAAAATACATTGAATTGAACCCTGTATATCAGGGCAGCCCGTGGCATAGGCAGTACAGGAAAATGACAGGGGCGCTGTCCATTCAAAAGGGGTAGGAAGGGGAAAATTAATTTTTTTACTTCTACTATATTGATTTGCTACTATTTTACACTATAATTTTGAAACTATAAAAAGCTTATTAAACTAACAATATTTATTGCTTTGCCCGGCGCCCTCCATATTACATACTGTAGGCATCTTTAAGTGACATTGATATGATTGATAAGTGTGTAATACGATTAATGGTATCTAATTCAAACAGACACTATCATGTCAGAAAGACCAAAGCCCTCCGGTGCCCAGGGAAGAAAAGGAGGGAGAGGAGAGGAGGAAAAACAGGAAAAAGACAGAGGTAAGAAGCACTAAGAGTAATTACCGTGTTACTGTCTGTGGTCTGTGGAGCAGAGTGTTACTTGCTTACCTTGAATAATTTGGCATTTGCTAATTTAATAAATAGCTAGGGGGGGCGCTCGCGGACGCTGAAGAAGATGGCCGCCTAAATTGTAGCTCCGCTCCTAATTGTTTAATAAACTGCTACCCTCCTCGATTAAAGATAAAGAATCTCCTAATTATAAAGATTAACACATGGCCAACATGTCCGATTTTCAAGATCCAAAGGACTTTCCACTTTTCGCAACTTCCCGGAAACAGAAAAAGAAGAAACAAACTGCGTCAGATGAAACGTCTTCGACTTCAACGGAACAAACGAACCCAATTTTGAAAGAAATACGAGCCCTTAGTACACGATTGGGGAATATCGACGGTCGTTTCGATACTATTGAAAGTCGTCTTGATGCTATATCGACCTCAGTTTCTGCAGTTCATGAGACTTTATCCAATCTGTCACAAAGAGTGTCTTCGAGTGAATCCCGCTTAATGGAAGCTGAAAACAGAATCTCTACCACAGAGGATGCTCTACGGCCCGCGAAAGTGACCTGTCTGCTTTGACGAAAATTGTGACTCGGCTTCAAGCTAAAGTGGATGACTTAGAAAATCGTGGAAGACGTAAAAATCTGCGAATCGTCGGCTTACCCGAAAAAGCTGAGGGATCTACCCTCATTCTTGAGGGAAATGATACCGAAATGGCTCGACCTTTCTTTTGATCTCAGGCCTGAGATCGAGAGAACGCACCGATCGCTCGGACCTGCTCCTGGAGTCAATAATCCACCACGAATCATACTGGTCAGATTTCTACGCTACGGAGACAGAGATCGCATTCTACAGGCAGCATTGAAAAAATGGCAAATTATTCATGAGGGAAAGCAGGTTCGCTTCTTTCAAGATCTTTCAGTGGACGTGATGAGGAAACGGAGGGAATTCAATGCTGTGAAGAAGATTCTAGTCGGTCGCAAAATGTTCTGCGGATTCGCATACCTGGCCAAGTTGCATTGCTTTCACGATTCAGAGCTTCGTATGTTCAGCACAGTGGCCGCGGTGGAAGAGTTCATAGAGACTCTGCAAGATAAGTGATAAAAGGTTTCTTACTTATTCTCTCACTTTTACTATAATCGGAGGGGTAATGACTTTCTTTTTCTCGGGTTCTCACATGCCATTTTTTTGTTTCTAATTTGTTCGAAATGGCAAATGTGACTGTTTTATAACGGACTTCTCATATTTTTTTGTCATTTTTTTTTTGTATGAGCACTCCGAGATGATGTCTATTTTATTGGAGCGGATTAACGTAGCGTCAAATAGGTATGATCCTGATCCCTGTGTTGGTAGCGGGTAAATGTTTTTTTGACCTAAGTCCAACGGGGTACAGACATACAGGTTTAGGGGGACTTATTTGGCCCTGTCAGTTGGCGACAGAGCCGGGAGGGGGGGAGAGGGAGTTGTTTTGTGTTAACTTTAAATGTTTGCTCATTAGAGACTTTTGTTGTTTTATCTTCTTGTTGAAAATCACATTAACAATCTCTTATTTTCTCACACTTTGCTGTAATGCAGAGCTTGACTAGATTTATGACATGGAATGTTAGAGGGCTAGGGCATGTGATAAAAAGGAAAAAAATATTGACTTTTCTAAAAAAGGAAAAAGTTACAGTTGCAATGCTTCAAGAAACTCATCTATCTGATAGTGAGCATTTGAAATTGAATCGAGATTGGGTGGGTCAAGTGTACTTTTCTTCGTGCATAGCTAACCCTAGGAAAAGAGGTACAGTTATTTTAATTAACAAACACTTGCCATTTATTTTTGAAAACCAAGTTAGAGATCCCGAGGGTAGATT